TTGTGTAGGAAGCGGTATTCCTACGAGCAAAGCCAGTTTCCTCTTTCCTTTGTACTTTTGAAGATGTCATTCCAAAAAAAAGAGCCTTTACCTTTTCCAAAACCACTTTTTTGAAGCGCATTTTGAGATTTTAGTGGTCTCACAACATAATGAGAACAATTACCGGCTTACAAAGACCAGATTCTGAGGCAGAGTTACTGAAACATGAGACGAAAAAAGGATTCAGAAACTTCAGAAACATCTGTTTAACAAATGCCAGCAATTAAGCCAGTAGAAGTGTAACAGAAACAGCAAACACAACTGCCTACATTCCGTTTGTATCAAAGATTGATCGAAGATTGAAAAAAATGGAAGGAAGGAAGAGCCGTTGAAGAAAAATTGTCATGATTTGGAGAGTGGAGGAGGATCATATGTGGTTTTTTTAGCTTTGGAAGCACCATAACTACTGGCTTCCCCTCGCTCCTCCCCCAGTACTTCACCTTTATCTAGGTGAGTCAAGGTGTAGCGAGCTGGTGGAAACTATGTGCTGTAAGGTTTTTACAAGGGGCTCACATTGGGCTTGAAAGACGGAGTTGGAGACCTGCAATCAAGTGTCGCTATTAATTTATGCAGTCCCGTCCCTGTACTGGAACTCGACCGAGCTCGACAAGCCTGACAGCTGTCTGAGAGATCGGTGGGTTAGCATGAGACCTTTGCAAGAGAATCAAAACACTGTCTTGCACTTCCACCCCCGCAAGTAATGCAGGAGTCGGGGTCGCTCTCAACAGCCACGAAGAAACCAAATGGGAGCCTGATGCCTGGCGGCCTTCCATGAAGGGAATAACCAACTCCAAAAGGAACTTCATTCTTCGGAATTCATGGGCACGAAGAATGAATGAGACAAGGTGATGGAGATAACAAGAGCATAATGGAAAGCATGATGAGGTTCGAAAAGAGATGATGAAGGACTGGAAGAGTTAGGGTCCATGAAATCCGTTACTTCCTCGGGTAAGTAGTAGCCGTCATGGGCAGCCGCCACAACCATCGCGCAGGAGGTCGTGTAATCATTGTCGGCGCGGCTGTACCAATCGATGGATCGATGCGCACGTCGTCCCATCGCAACCGCCCCACTGACGGACACAGCCACACCATCACGATCCATCCTATTAGTCGGTATCGATTGATAGATTACTAGTAAGTAATGCTATATGAAAGTCACACCCGCTACCGTACTTCGCAAACGTTCTTTCTAGTTTTCAAAGGCGTAAACACAACAAATAACAACACACTACGGAAGTAGGGGCTGTCTTCCCAGCCCAGATTGAGGTCTTCTAACAGTCCATACGCACTTCAATATCGAAAATTAGGAACTGGGTTCCTCCGCATTCATCCCGTTTGAGGAATGCGCCACGCATTCGACTTCCATTCGAATCGTGGTGTTCTTTGATTGCTTATACGACCTGCGCAATGAGTTGCGGGGGCAGCCGTTGTGCAAGTCAGTGCTTTTATCATCTCCAAGGATTGTGATGCCGCACGATGGAAGTCTTGGCTGATCAGGGTGGATATCGATTCGGGTTTCGATTATCGGCTCACACTTGTGTTAGCATGACACTATCCACGTGGGCCATGGGCTTAATATGGGCGAAGAATCCAATCTATGTCAACTGGTACGTATAGTACTAGACAGTCAGCTCATAAATGACATCATTGTGTCACGAATACCAGCTGCCGAAAGCTAATTTTGGCCCATCCTCCGTTCTGTAGACACACACATGCCCGATTGTAAATAGAGTTAATTGATAATAGGCAAGTTCAACTTGTTTATCACAGAGCATACTCCAAGGTAAACACTTTTTGAAACGCTACCGTAGTGATAATCTAACGGTTTCGATTCAGAAAATGTTTATTTAGTTGTATGCTCTGTGGTAAATAACTTGAACTATGTAGCCGAATGTGTTTCTTGAGACCAGTGCAAATAAAACCTGGAAACCTTGGTTTTCACTGTCAAACATGAATCACCGCTCAAAAAGATGTACAGATGTGATTTCGGAGCCCAAGTCGAGCTTCAGACTTCGAAAGGAATTCTTTGAGTTTGATGGAGAACATATTGAAAAGAGAAGTTGAAAGATTTTAAAGCGATAGACCACTATCGGTGGCACGATTGCGGAGGGGAAAAGGGAGGAGACAGGTGAAGCACACAGCTGTTGCTCTCTCGTTCTCTAAGACGAGAGTAAACAATCTAAAACCAAGCAAGTAGAGTCTGGAATGTTCGCTGGCAGATTTCGCACCCGCCAAGCGCAACGTAATACCCACGTAAAACGGGAGCGCATAGGACGAGCTGCACTCACCAGACAATACCTAACCCTTCGGCTTGCTAAACGACTTTGGAGGTACGCCATGGAGGCGAATACAGTTCATTCAGGCGCGTGATCGTCGAAACTATGCAAATATACCCGTTTCGATTGTTTGAAATGCTCCGCGACGGGTATTTCGATGAGTCAGGAAGTCGCTTCTCGAAAATTCCCAATGCGCTATCACTTCCCGTCGACCGCCCGTCCCGTAGTTTCTGCCGAGCGCAGCTTTTTTGAGTGCTCTGGTGCACTTCGAGCATGATAAATAAATAAATAGATAAATAAATATGGCTAATTTGTTATGGTGCTGAATCCCACATTTCTCACGACACCGGAGTTTAAGCTTCGTTGTTCATAAACGGAAAAATGAGCAGTGTAAGTATGGGTGGTATGCCAGTGATAGATAGAGGGTAAAATTCTCCGGCGTTGATAAATCTTTTTTTGGGATACGCCCCGCACTCGACTTCCATTCAGAATCGCAGTGAAGTTTCATCCGTACATAGCCTACTTATGTCGTGACCAGTCAATAAAGTCAATACTTTCATCTCCCTGGTCGAATCTGGTACTAACAAACCGATTCCGGTGGAATGCAAGGCGCAACTGGCTCGGGCACGTACATTCTATCTCCCCGGAATTCGATTTTGTAGTTTTGTACGAGTTGCCCGAGTGGCTCTCGCTCGTTTGAGCTCTATTCCGTTGGAACTGGGATTCGTTGACAGGGTACTATGACTGAGAGAGAAGAGGGATCATATTATTCAGTGAACTAACTACTCCGAAACGCAGTAAGGAAATTTAATTGGGGCGTGGCTTCCTGTAGGGACGTTCTTAACCGAGCCTGCATCCTATTACCTTATTTTTGTTTTTTTTTTCTCGTACAAAAGTGTCGAACGTCATCTTCAGCAGAGTCTGAGCATCTTTTCAGCGGTTTCTTACACAGAGGCTTGTAATCGCGGATTGTCTCAGATGCATATACTGAATACGATACGAAGTCTATATCATACGGCTTGTCTAGGAACTCAGTATGTCATGATATCGAAAAACGAGAACACCAGGCGTTCCACATGCGTCTGATGAGTGAAGCTACAAACGGACGTGGCAGATGATTTTCTTTCAAGCGCCCCCTGATCGTTGCAAATACTGGGAGTCTAACTAGCCAGGGGGCTTTAATTTGATCCCTCGTCACTATTTTTATCAAAAACGGCAGAGCCTGAGCATTGGCGGACCCTGTACGAGAGATCACTGCGATCTTGAATAAAAGTTCAGTACGTGGCGTATTCTGGAACGATATAAATCATTGCTAAATGATTTATGCTTCTCACGGTCTTCATGATGGATGTGGCGCTCTGATGTGAACAGTGGTGCATGCGTGGATTAGAGAGAGCCGATAAATCACGTCTTTTACAAAAAATTTGCTGTAAGCTGTTTTGGGTCTGCACTAGTCGGCTAAGGAGCAAGAGATGGCGTGAACTGGTAGTGACAGTGATTGAACGCTGACAACAACAGACGTGGACACTTACTGTCGGTGTCGAGGTCATACCTTTACAACGAATTGGCGGGTATGAGGACCTAATGCTCATGTCTTCAGAACATTTAAGGGTGATTAGAAAGTTGACTAGATTATTATTGAAGTTCATCAGAATGCAGGATGGAAGTTAAATGCATGGCGCATCGCAGCTCGTGCCTCACCGGTACCAAACGATTTCTCCTGTAACTCTCCTATTAAGACATGCGTCGACATCTGCTTGGAATATGTCCCTGGAGAGCTGCGGGTTGATGAGAGGAAACAAAATGGTGTTTTTGTACAGAGGAGGTGGAGGTTGAGTCACTTGATGGGGGCATAACCTGGATGCGATGAGAAATGTACGAGTTATGTACCAAGTCGGAGTGTGCTTAAAAGGTGTCTTGTAAAGTTTCACAAAAATACGGTAATAATGGGGGGCATTACTTTCGAAATGGGGTAGTCCTATGGGTGGGCTTTCCCCCATCAGCTCCCTTATTCCCACTCCTTCCTTCCATTCAATAGTTGTACTGTTCCGCTTATGCATCTGGTGTGGCACGAGCATCTCGTGGGGCATATGTGTGTGTGCTGATCATATTAGCCATTAGAACATGATGACAGTTAATTAATTAATTAGTTATTTAATTATTTTGGTTGTACACAAGCCCTTGTGTACTGCTGCTGGTATGGTATTCGAAAATACGGAAATGGGGGGAGGGGGAAAGGTGGTAAATCGAACAAAATGGAGGCGAGACAGCATTAGAAACTAGTTGTATTTGGTTTGTTGGGGCAAGAGAGTGAAGGAAGTGAAAGGTCGAAGTTAGGCTTGAAGGTGGACCTAGCCTGTAGCACATAGAAAGCTGTCGGCCAGTAGCTACACCAATCACCCATACCCATGCCCTCATTCTAATAAAGCCCTTGCACATCGGGAGTTCAAGAATTCCTTTTTTCTGTTGGCGGTCGGTTTCTCCTTGTAGCTTTTTTAGGGAGAATCCCAAACTTAGGGATTGAGAGACAGACGAACAAATATACAATTTGGTAAATATGAAATCAGCGGTTCGAATGGGGCTATCAAGTGACGGAGATGGGGATTCGACAAGTGGCGACCCTGACACACAGCAGCTGCATGAATCAAATTTTGAAATGATTCCGTAAGACTTTTTCAGTCTGGGGATTCTTCTACAAACCGAAAAAAAGCCTCAAATCTTGTGAAATCGGCTAACCGCTTTGCGGACTTTGTCCTGGACTATAAAAACGGACTTAGTCAGTGCCGGAAAGTTATTGTGTAGGCGTAGTACGAAATCGAATAGTTCTACGATTCCCGCAGGAATTCCATTACGTGGCCCTCCCATTGTTGGAAGGGAATTAGTCATTGGAGATTATTTGCTTATTTCTTTTTTTAGTTATTAATCATTGTGTCTAGGAAACGTGGTGTGAATTGGGACAGAGATAAGGGGCGAAGAAGTGTTAGGGCTGAAAAAATGAACAATTCAGCAAGACCAGTCGACAACTGAGATTAACTCGACACGAATAATTTTGTGCAGACTCTATTTTAATCGGAAAAATCGGCATTTTCCTGAATTCTTTGCTGGTGGGGTACACTCGAGGGATGAAGATTCCTCAGTAGTCTACGTGAATAGACAAAGGTACAATATATTACAACAACTCGAAACAACTGCTGTAAACTGCTTAGATTTTGCAATGGTTGATTATGTGATCGAAACAACGAGAACTGGTATCTGACAGTGATTGAAAGCTAACAACGACAGTGGGAGAGAGCTATGAGTAACGATGGAGCCTACGTATTGATAGCCTATCGGGTTATTCGAATTTCTGAATAATAGGGGCAATAGAGAGAATTATGGGTTCAAAGTTCTGAAAATGAGTTGCGGATGCTAAATTCTTACTTCCTAGTCCTAAGGCGTGCCCAGGAGCAAGAATGGGTAAGAGGGATGTGCCACTACTCCATACATGGTCTGGGGATCAGATCTCTGATCGGTTTGCGCTTGGGCCAACCGAGCCTCACTTCCTTCCGGGTCGACTAATTGAGAGCATATGTCTAAAAGGAATCGTACATTGACTTATGCCTCTGCTGACCACTGCAACCCTTTGTTCAGGCCAAATATGGCATCAAATGTCTGTAGGGTTGTTAATGGAAAGACGTAGAGTGATTGTCTCAGAGGGGGATTGCTGAGGGTTAAAAATTAGGTGCTCTCCATGGTGATGAAAATATAGGGTAATAATAAGAATGTTTATTAATGGGAAAAGATACTGCTTTGTCGTTAGCATCAGCAGGTTTATATGGGTACCCAGTATGTGGTTGGAGCCATGTCATGGCATTGAAAAGATGACTACAAATATGCTATTCATCAGTCTGATCCTTAAGTAATGTCGTTTTTTGTTATCAATGAATCGTGAAGATGGGGTTGTGCCAAGTGACGCTGAATGGAAATGCGTGGAGCACATCCCAAAGGTATTACTCAGCGCTAAAAAACTTTTATTGGACTTTTTGATTCCTCATGGTTCCCCTCGTTGCTTATGACTCAGCCTTCCTCTTTTGAAATAATGCGTATCCTGCTCCATGCAATTGGGCTCTTTGGTCGCTAGCCAACATTTCCTCAGCCGAATCGGAACATGCGCTTCATTATCGATGACTATGCCTCTAAGGGCTTTCGGAGGAATGAAAAATGGCAGAAATTGGAAGGCATAAACTCGGGCTAGAACAGGGTGGAGAGGGTCCTTACCTGTAGAAAACGATGTTTTGGGGATTAGAAGGCGTAATAGTAAGGAAGTTCGAGAGAAAGAAAGGAAACCAGTGTTGTTTAAGTTTTTATTTCTGTCTATGTTGTTTTTGTAAACAGCGCTACAGTATATCAAGAGGTTTCTTACTATCAGTACTGTAACTCAACAGAGACGCCGATTGTTGCTATAAAAGGATGCCCAGAGCAGAATGAAATATTACGGGTAATACGCAATAAATTATACAGATTCGGCATCTTGTACTCATAAAAATACCGAAAAGGCAGAACGTAGTGGTAGGAAAGTCTGCATTACCATCAAGTAGCTCGGGGGTTGACAGTGCAGATGATAGGATGATAGAATGATGAGCGACTGTAGGCTGGCGAGACGTTGGCGAGCTTGATGAATAAGCCTAATACGAACGTAGTTGTCATCGATGTTCATTTCATTTAGGGTGGGTGAGCACAAAAAGTCAATAAAAAGCTTGGAATTACCTGTAAAGGGGGATTAGCTTGAAGACATCGTTACGTTGTTCATGGTATTTCTGGCAGTTTCAAAGAGATAAAGTAAATAGTAGAGTGTAAAGTGGTTTGTTGTTTGAACTGAGGTTTGATAGAGGAAAATATTTATCAACATCTCAGCATAAACAATCGAATCATTCAGTAAACATGAATGAGGGGTTGTTGTTGACCCTTGGTGGTTCTGGAGGCTCTTGGTGGTTGAAGGTTCATTTTTTTTGAAGTTGGTGAATATTCCATTTCTTATTATGAGCCAGGTTCATACTCGCATATCAGTTGGATTATGTTGATTACTCTTTACAAATATTCCGGAAAGTTTCCTCTATAGTAACCTCTAGCCTTGAGAATCTAGCTCTTTCTTTTATTCTGACACCATCGAAACTGTGTTGGACCGAGTAATTGGGCCAGGATCGATGTTTGAGGCGAGTCTCATCTATGCTCAAATGCTTAGGTCCTTTGAGAAGTCCGTAGTCTTCATCCTGTGCAACCAGAGCTAGTTTTTTCTTTGGAAGGGCTGTTGAAACGCCTTAGTATAAGTGACCTCTGCTGCTGCTCGCTTCGTCACTGCTTTCCGGCCAAGTTTCATCTTTTATTCATGGATTGACGGGATTTTTAATGGAACTATTAGGTTGTTTTCTGTTCTTTAATAATATTCAAAACATAGTGATATGCTTTTCTTCGTTTCTCACTAAAAGCTCTTTCCTCATTTCTCAAAATAGCACGTCACTGTTCTCTCGGCAACTTCACGAGTGGGTTCTTCAAGATTTCTCATTCTGCTATTTATGCCATCACGTAATGACCCATTTTGGAAATTTGTAGTGGCTTATGATGGCCCTACGAAGCAGATTATTCAGGAAGATACGGCTGTCGGAGTATTGGTCCTTCACGCTGGTCTTCCCTAGTCACCCATTTTGCAGGGCCTCAATGGTAATGGTCACTTCAGTAAGACTAAAAATACAGTGAACTGAAAGTCACTGTACAAATCCAATGCTTATTCAAATTCCTTGGCATCTTGTCAGGAAAGTGAGTGCGTGACGCATTCGGCTGTTGACCGTAATCTTCTCTTTTTACCTACCGTACTCTTTAATTGATTGAATTACCAACGAAGACAGTGTTAGCCAGAACTTTGCATGTTTCGACTGAACGTTGGAGGTCATGCATAACGGAGGCCGATGGCGGCGGCTGACGACTGCTGGCTGTGACCGGCCGGGCGTCGTAACGCCCCTCATATCGCCTGAACGCGAACCCCCTTCATTTGAATATCGATTTCACCCGGTTCATCCTTGAACTACTATCGGCTCGTTTTTTTCTTTTTACGTTCCTGTCATGTTGCCTCATTTCTCACTTGATAAGGTCGTTCGCTATTTTTTTTTTGTTGAAAAATTCCAGCGGACCTTGTCCAATTTTCTTCAGAAGTATAAGGACCTCGTAAGTGGAACGATATAATCCAGACATGTCTTTGCTTTGGTTCCGTGCTACATCAGGTTCTTCGTTTCTGAATGGTTCCCTGCTTCCCCGTTGGGGAAGGTTTATTTGAACTCAAGAAACTCCCTACTGCTGTAGCAGAGGAGGCAATGCTGCTTTAGCAAACCAGTTCGCCATAGTTTTGGGCTGATTTGGTCCTTCACGGGTCCCGATGCTCTGAACAGGCTCGAGGGTTAATGGAAGCAAAGTGGTTTCTCTCGGTGAAAGCAAAAAAGCGTAACTTGTTCTTTAAAAATTATTTTCAGTGAAGTTCCTCAGACGATTCTTTTCGGTAGTGTGGTAGCCTTACAATAATTTCAAAGATAGAAAAAAAAACGATCTAGAAAGGAAGCTGTGGGCTCCCAGAAGCGTCTTGTGATCTTAAAAGTCTATTTTAAAGTAACAAGACGTTTCTGACGAGACTGCTTAACGCTTGGCGTTCATCAATCTGGATTCTGGAATGCGCCCTGCACTCGAACTCCCTTGAGAATCGTAGGGACGTTTCGAATGCGTATGTGGCCTACACAATAACCTTCGGTGGCCAGTCGATGGGCAACTCAGGGCCTTCATTCCAGCAAACCTGGTTCCAATTACCGATCTCGGAGGAACAAAATCGAGGCGCGAGTATCGATCCATGACTCGATCTCTGGACCATGCATGTGATAGAGATAGTGCACCACATTGGCCAATACACACTACCGCTCATCGCACTCTTTTATTGAACTGAAATATGGTGTGATTTCAATCTGTGTTTATGGATTCGCTTCATGAGGGTATTCAGAGAGGGCGGCGGATCGCTTCGATAATGATCTATTGACTGCCGTGCGGGGCGCAACTTTGTGCAACAAAAGGATTTAGCGCGTTCGTGCTGACTTAGTGCGAAGGTCATCGCGGTCGCTGTGGCGTCCAGCGCCAGCGATTTGTCCCTTAAGTAGATGGCGATCACTTCTTAGCCCTGAAGAGTTCATGGCAGTCAGCAATCCAGGGATGCCATCGTCTTCAAATGCATTGTAAACTGGTTTTTCGTTTGCAGCAGGTCGAGGTGTATGATCGCTCGGGAAGCCATCATACATGACTACTGATTCACTGAAATCCGCAGTCCTTGTTCTCGCCCTATCGAATGATCCAGCTTTGTAGCTTTTGACTAGTTGTAATGGTCTTCGGGAGAAAAACTTGCAAACTGGAAGTGAGATGGTTGAAAATGGCTCCGTAGCGGCGCGTATGTTTGCTTGTAAACAATCATCAACTCTAATCGCTGTGAAGAAAGCTACGGAGCCATTTCTAACAGCCTCATTTTCCAGTCGCAAATTTTCTCTCGAATACCATCACGACTATTCGAGGGCTGTAGAGCTGGGCCACACTAAACGGCAAGTTCAGTGAGTTTTGGCACGACCTGTACGTGTAGAAATTCTGTACCATGTCCACATTACCAACATGGACCAGATTTGAGAGTTTGAGCATCATTCTTGTATCAATGAGCCACATGAGTACTCCGGAGCCCATTGTTCGCCACATCAGAAGGAATGGGTAATGGAAATAGTGCCGATGCTTTCCTCCTCAACGACCGCATAAGATGTTATGCGGTAACTGTTACAACGGAGAAACTAGATACTCAGATGAAATCAATAGCTGAATCGAGCTATTCGCTATACCGAATGATAGCTTCGCACCATCTGCCGCTCTGAAATATGAGTTTTCGATGGGCTTTGACTTGTCACATTGCCATCCATCTGGTACCCGAAATCCAAACATTCCATGCTCATGCTATTACAAAGAACTGACTCATGCACGAGGAAGTATGAGGGGGTCTAATAAGAGTTCAGTCAGGTCCGTTAGATTGCCCTGAGCAATTCCCTTTACCCTAAGCCTATTTCATTAATACCCTCCTTTTTCCAGTAAAATTGGCTCGAATGGAGGTGGAAATCGTGGCGCATTCCAGAGAAATGAGACAATAAGTAGTTTTTACTGCATTGTACTTTCCTAGTAAATCAAAAGGAAAAGAATGAGATGGCTAGTGATTGGGTAGTAGGCAGAGCTGATTAGCTCTTCTGGAATTCATTGTGTGTAGCTACGGAAGTGGTGACGGCTGAGTCATGCGTACGAATTTGGTGCAATGATTCAGAAGCCCGAAGTAGTTGTGCAAAACACTGCCAAGCTTGGAAGTCCAAGTCGAAAGGGCTCACCAGACTGCTACCGCGATGGAAAGTTTGGCGCCTGTGAAAGACTCATTACTTGATTGTAGGGAGAAGTGGTCTGGAAAACTTTGAGTAATAGCCGAGCCTTTCAAAAACCCTGCTTGTTTTGTCCGAGCGGCCTACGAGCGAATTGCTTCAGTGAAGGGACGCAATCGGGGAGGAATCGGTGGTGATTCAAGATAGATACCCTCAGAAGTTCGTCCCAGTGTCCATTTCTATGCGTTCCTCTTGCGCCTTCCATAAAATAAGCTTCGTGCAAGAACCTGGCCTCTCGAATTTTCGGCAATCTCTTTTGATTAAATTTTTCTAATTATTATATTATTAGGTATTATTTTTTCTACTTTATCTATTTTTAATCCTACCCACTGCCGCCGACATTCTCTGATTGCGGAAGGAGCCCTTTATGTAATCTGATACCTCGTACACTTTTCTTCAGTGCTAGGGTAGGATCGAATGGATTTTCGTGGTTAGTGGGGATCTAAGATGATTGAAATCTGGTCCGGCAAGTCAATCCAATAATCATGATGGGGCAGTGGCGAAAACTGCGCAATACCACTTGGCGACACCATTACGCGTGAGGTCTAACGACCCATTTGCTGGTCCGGTTCCAGTGGCCAATGTAAGCCATCTATCTCGCGGTCCTCGTTTACTGGTTCTAATTGACTCATCAGTGACATGAAAATCTTGCTATAGACAACAGCAAGCAACAGCATTATGGTCCGAGATTAAAGCCGAATGCATGGCGCATTTTGGAGAGGATCTGGATTTGTGGTTGATTGATTCATCCATTTAGCAGCGAACTAAAGGAAAGCTATGGTTACTCTATCAATAACCTGACAACATTCTATAATCCAGTGCTTTACGGAGTTACAGGGTGGCTGTCTTGATCCTGTCCTACCACTTTCCAACCAGTCATGTGATAATATGATGACTAGGGTTGAACGCCAATCAAATTTACAGGGATGGGTAAAGGGTCCATTGGTGCTCATGCGACTAATTCATTCTCATCGTCTAGGAAATTATTCACATTGATGTAAATGTATAATAGACAGAAACTGAAAAGTTTCTAAGTCAGCAGGAGCAGACCGATTGAAAATTGATGTGGTCGTTGGCCGGGTTCGATTTTCGTAGTTCCTAGTCAATAGCAAGCTCTGAGGTGCATAAACTCTTTGATGTTTGGAAAATCGGACTATAATGGGATGAAAAAGGGTCTGGAAGATTTTTGTAAGCTACTACCTTGGAACCCTTGCTAGGAAAAGATATCTTCGCCGGCTTGTGGAATTTGTTTCCATTTTCATTCTTTATTCTTTTGCCGAGACAGAGGTATAGCGGCAGGTGGCGCACCATCGCACGCCCGTGGTGACGGGATCGAATCCTGGGTCGATGTCAGCCTCGGCCTATCAGGACTTTCATTCCTCCAGGGTCGATTAATTGGTAACAGACCAGCTGGAAGGATGAGAGCGTTGAATTCTACATCGACTGTTCACCGCAATTCGTTGCATGGGCCCCATACGCACCCAATACGCCGCTACAGTTCTGAAGTGAACTCAATTGTGGGAGCATGTCCTTTATTTATTAGGCGGGAGTGATGAACACCTAAATACTATCCTTCATCCATTTATTCCTCTGCCACTTCTTATTGATAGTTTCTCTGCATTCTTGGAGGTCATCGCCCGCTTCCACTCATCCTCTCATTCTCACAGCCCTAAACTTGAGCATATCTTTCCTCTCTTCGTTTCTAGCTTGTTGTTTTTTTAGGTATTGGGCTTTATTCCCTAGGTGGTCTAAAGTCGTCTGGAGTTGGAAATACTGGAAAAAGTTTTTTTTTCTCAAAAAAAAAAAAANCAGCCTAGGCCTACCAAGACTTCCATCCCTCCAGGGTCGATTAATTGGTAACAGACTAGCTGGAAGGATGAGAGATAAAGGCAAAACGACAAGATGTAGATTAAATCTTCGAGGGTGCATCAGTGTATTCTGTCGTGTAGTCCTCCATTATCGAAAGGTCATCATCAACCTTAGCAAGCGCAATGTGGATTAGGTTTCATGGGTCCTAATGCACTCCCAAACTTTTCATAATACCATTTTCTCTAGCTCCCTTAATACTTGAAGCTAGTCTTGGTAGATGTGTAGCTGTGAAAATGTATGGATACTACTTACATTAGAACCAATTTCCATCTTATTCTTCTTCCACGATTTCGAAATGTGAGCTCTGAAGCTCATTCAGCGTTCTATGCCATAGGCACATCCTTTATGGCAGGGTTTCACAATATGAAGCCTATATACCAAGAACAGACGCGGCTTGTTAACAAGCCCATTTCTTCTCTATCCATCACATCCCTTTTTAGTCTCCTGTGTGTTCTCCTTTGCAATCCTTTAGTGGAACCATTGCGAAGTATGTAAATGGCTAAGCAATTTTCCAATCCTTTCGTTAGTGATTCATAGTGGCGAGAGACTTCAACCGGTTAATATGCTGAGACTGAGCGAGTCATCCTCTAAGCTCCACTCCGCTACCTTCTCGCCAGGATTTACTTCTTTTTCATCGAAGTAACTGGCCCAGTTACTTTTCTCCATAATTTGCAGCTGAGTTATGTGCAGCCCAATCAAGGGAGACTCGGTCCGGGTCTGCTGGTGGATCAATTAGCTGGCTTCGGTGTATTTCTTTGCAGTCGCATTAAGAGGACCAGTTTGTAGCTAGAAATAATTGGGAAATTCCTGGAAGAGCTAATGAATCCATTGACAACTCTCATCAAGAAGCTTCTCCTTGGTCAAATGTTGCAAACTGCAAGAAGTGATGGGTGTTTACTTTTCTGTAACCGTCAATAATCCTTCACAGTCCGGGTAGTGTGGGTACCGGGTTGGCGTTATTCGGTAGCCCTACCTCAATCGCATCTAGAGCCTGTGAGTCGGATCCTAGAACAATTCCCATTATAGTCAAGCCTTCACCCATCTGGAGTAGGTCAGCCGGCATCAGGTTTGACAGAATGCGGGAAAGGTATGGAAACAAAACAAAAGTCACGGAATTTATGGTTCGAGCACAAAACATTTTACACGCTATATTGTTTTGTTATAGAGAAGGACTGAGTGGGAATCGCTTCCCACCTTTCCTATCCACGTGATGAACTTTGCTTGAGCCCTTCCCAAGCTTGGTATGGAAATTTATGAATAACCACGAGTTTCGACGATACCGCGTTCTTTTAAGCTTGACAGTTCGAATCACTTTGACAGCATTCGACCGAAAGTTCCTGCAATCATATGAGGTTCGAGTTCTTTGAAGGACTCGGCTTGATAGGAATTGCTTCAGATCTTTCAGTCCCTGAATCTGATCTCACCGAAATCTCAACTTGATAAAGTAGTCCTCAGAGGGTTGAGGTCGCGATGAGGCTCTTAGCCTGCTTTGGACTCAAGGATGCTCCAATAATCAAGCGGATTGAGGTTCGCTGGTAGTACATTCGAAGTGATGAACTCTGCAAAGTTCTGCGTGCGCCACGACTGGGCAGACAACCTTGCGAGTAGGGGCGCTGCAATGCGTATTGCACTGCTTTGTGTTGCTATAGTGAATTAAGGCCCAAGGTACGATATCCTTTTTTCGCAGTACTAAAGTGACTGCTTTCATCGACCCTTAACAGTGTTTCTCCTGGCCTAGCTGTTTCCTCGACTAGCCTCGACTACATGTGACTACAGTGAAGATCATCGAAGTTTTCGGATTATTGGTACGAATACGGGTGTTGTACCAGCCTCGACCACATACAATCACCCTTCTTCGTTCAAAAACTGATCGGCAACGAAAATTTCGTACATAAATGGAGTGCTCCGAAGCGAACCGAAACCGAATCGTCGGAAAACTTCTGACTGGGAACTTTGCTCCTTCTTTTTGAGTC